CAAGATTGCTCGCATTAAAAAAGTGAAGTCCAGCATTGGCCAGCCCAGGGTTCCTTTAGAAGAGATTGTAAAAAAAAAGCCTCAATGATCTTTAACTTTTCCTTAAAGACAACAAAAAAGAAAAATGACTGAGAATTTTTGGGCAGATTCAAGATAATCAAAAACTGTTTAAGACAATTAAAAGAAAAAATTTCAAGAGAAGTCTTTCCCAAAGAAAAAACTATGCATGACCTGTTCACTGGGGGGTCAGGACCAAGAAAGACACTCTTGTCTTCAACTTGATGTCCTTTTTATTTCATTAAACTAATAAATTTTTGTGTAATTTTCTTTAAAGTACAGTTTTAAGCTGGTTGAATACTGCAGTCCAATAAAGCAAAGCCTGATGTTAAACCTTTTCATGCATAAGCTCTTTTATGTTGTAGTAATTCTTCCTCATTAGCAGCCATGAAGCAAGCTTACCAAGGCTTTCTGTAATTAAGAAGGAATTTTATCCAGGCAGTAGCGTGGTTTTTCCAGGATTTCGGAAAAGATGAGCAGTGAATAAGAAGCCTATGTGTGCTCTGGTTTGGCCTGCCAGACACCTGGCTCATTGGTACCGCACCTATCAGTGCAGGCGGGAGGCCCATACACAGCACGAACACTTGCAGTGCTCTAAAGATTTTTGGTTTGTTTTGCTTTGCTTTTGAGATAGGGTCTCCCTGGGTACTTTAGGCTGGCCTCTCCAGTGCAATCTTCTTATCCCTGCCTCCTGAGTTCAGGGGTTCCAGGTGTGCACCACCATGCCAGGCTTCCTCCGCTAAGGTGGAAATCGCACTTTAAACTACTGGCTCAGACCATCAGTTTTCTGTTCTGAAATGGGACATCTATGATAACACTGGTGACATACAGGCCTCATAAACCCTGTGAAGCAGTGGTTCTCAACCTGTGGGTTACGACCCCTTGGGAGTTCATACCAGATAACATGTATATCAGATTTTTTTTATATTATGATTCATAACAATAGCAAAATTATAGTTATGAAGTAGCAACGAAACAATTTTATGGTTAGGGGTCACTACAACATGTAGAACTGCATTAAAGGGTTGTAGCATTAGGAAGGTTGAGAACCACTGATGGATAGGAACCTGACAGCGATACCTACTCGGTTTGCACTCTGTCCTCTTTCCCCCATGACTGATTCCAAAGGCCTCTGGGAAGTAATTCTCAGCTAACACTGGGATGCTAAGGTATGGAAGTGATAGTGGCTATTGGAAGCAAGGTAGCCGTGAGGACCCATCAGAAGCAGCTGGGGAGAAAACGACCCCGGAAGCAGAGTGCATGGCCAGGCCTGCTCCAGACCATGGTGCTGCTGAAGCATCTCGGGATGCATCTCTGGACATTGGCAGCTTCGGTAGGTTTGCCCCATTTGATTTTTCTTCCCTTTAAAGAAATCTACATCATGTATTTTGTGGATAAACTTCAGAGTTAAGAATAAGAAAGTATGAAAACAATGCAAACTGTGTTGTGATGGTAAAACTCACAATGCAAAGATAAGACATTTCATCTGTCCCCAAGTACAGACAGGGAGGATTCACTGATGGTTACAGGAAAACAGATCTCTGCACAAGCAACCGGAAGAATACTATGAAGAAATTAAAAAAAAACATGATATTCATATACTCAAAGAATTGCTGTCAGAAAAAATACAAAATGACTTGCTTTTTCCTGGCTGGACACTGACTACCCTTTCCAATGATCTTGGCAATTACTCTTGGCAAAATTTAATTAGCTCACTTTCTCTGGCTTAATTTTCTGTATAAATGTAACAACTATTTGACCTTTAGCCACACTTCGCCATTGCTCCTTGTTTCTGAGCAGCACGCGAGCATCTGCGCCTCATTTGTTTCATCCTCTGGGACAAAATGACTTCAGCTAACCGGGTTCTGTACAGACAAGACACTGTGTTTGAAATACTTCCTAGGCGAGGGGGGAGAGGGGGAGGGAGAAAGGGAGAGAGAGAGAGAGGGAGAGGAGGGAGACAGAGAGAAACCAAATGTACCTCAAAGAAAAACTTGATTCAAAGGATGTAAAACACCCCATGGGGCATTTCCATTTGTGTTCCAAGCTGTAGATTTCATGAAAGATCCTGCAGCACTGTACTGTGCACACCCTGAACACACACCCTGAACACTCATCCAATAACTTTCCAGATTTGGTTTCACTTATTCCTTGGATCCAGAAGATCCAAAATCTCAGAGTGCCGAGGTGTCATCAGAATGTAATCCCAACTCACTGGGTTTGCTATTTCTTATTTCAAATAACTAAGGCCAAGAAGTCTGCTCTCGTCTTTACTTCTAAAGGAGGAGATGCATTTGGGAATAATCTGGGGGGGAGGGGGGGGGAATGGGAGTTGAACGTACCGTTTACACCCAGGGATCCAGCAACGAGCTAATCTGAGAAGAGACTAAGCTGGCATCTTCTGTCCCCAAATTGCCTTTTAAAAATTATACACTCTAAGACTCAAAAGAGTAAGCACAGCCTTGGGTATCAGAGTGTAAAGAACAAAAGGTTAAAAAGAAGTAACTTTGGTAAGGAGGATGGAACTAAAAGTTTTAAGCATAGAGCTCCTGTTCTTAACGTAGACCACAAATTGCTTAAGCCTGTGATCAAGCTCAACCCTGGCTCCCAGGAGGAGCGCCATGCTGGCCTAGCCCTGAGTGGCAAAGCTTATGGGAGGGGTGTGTGGGGAAAAGGCGGGGGTTTAACTTCCGTTCTCTCTTCAACTTGAATGAAATGTAACTGCTCATTCGGTTACACTAGGGTTAAGCGGAGGGATGGGGGAAGTGTGCGTGCTTTCGGATACAGATGGAAACCATTAACAACTCCGTGAGCATCTCAGTAACTCAGAGGGTGGGTGGCCTGGCAAAGCTCCTGGATCTCTGAGTGTAATCACCAGCTCTTAGCACTGGGAGGGGTTTAACTTCCACCTCCCACCCAGGACAGAAACCCCTTACAACTGTTCTGTTCGCACACTTCCACCAAAGGCCTGTTCATCGCTTCATGTGAGCAATCCATTCCTACCACGGAAACATCAATTCCTAGAAAGTTCTTGGCAAATTTACCTCTATAGAAAGTTCACCCTTGCAGCTCAGCCCTCTGGTGCCGCAGTTCATGACAGCGCTGCTTGTAGAGACAATGGACCCTGGCCTCTGAGTTTTCCCTTCTAGAGGCTAAATGACCCTCTCTTGTCCATCTTGACTCCCAGTTAGCGTTTGCCAGCATCCATGTGAACCTGCTCGTGGTGAACTATGTTTATGTTCTAGAATCATGTTTGGACTCTTTCTAAAGAACTGGTCCCAGAACTGAACACATTCCTAGCTAGCTACAGAGTCACCTGAGGCAGGCTTGCATGTTGCTTACTTGTGACAGAGTCTCACTAGGTAGCCTTGGCTGGCCTGGCACTTCTTATGTAGATTAAGGAGGTGGAAGGACCCACTAGTCTCTGCTTCCTGATTAAAGGAGTGAGCCAACACAACACACCTTTGGGGTGAGCTTCTTAAACTCCCACACACAAACCTTTGGGATCAGAAATTTTCATGCTACTTGAGTATACTGATGTATAAAATAGATATATACATAATATACTTACTAATATTCATAAAAATTATCTTAGAGCCATCCTTTGGTATTCATCTAACTATCATTTATTAAGCAAATTTACATGTTAATGAGAGAAATATGCTTATCTAATTTTTACACTTAAAAAAGTAAATCATAGCTAAATATTTGATATCGTAGAGAACCTTCAATATTTTGCAGAGTTGACCAACATTTGAATTTTAAATCATTTATACTGAGAGCTCTGTTTCATGTAAACATGCAGTCCTGTGGCTTGGAGAGATGATTTGGCAATTGAGGGTCCCAGCTGCTCAATCACGGGGACCTGAGTTTGGTTCCCAGCACATACACCAAGTGTCTCACGGTCACCTCTAAGTCCAACCAAGGGACCCAATACCCTCTTCTGACCTCCTCAGACATTTGAAAACATGTATGCATATATACATACATAGACATGTGATTTCCTGCCTGCACATATAAATAAAATAAAACTTTTATCTACTTTTTCTCCCTACCACCCAACTTCATGTTCTTTCTCTCTTTTGGTTTTTTGAGAGAAATCTCATGGTGTAAAACAGATTAGCCTTGAACTCACAAAACTGTGCAGCGCACAGCTTAAGGAATCCTCACTTGGGAGGAGGTGGTTTTCTTTTTTTGAGGGAGGAAAATATTTGCAGAAAGGAAGGATCCGACTCTTTTTCAGACATTGTCTACAAAATATGTTTTTCGCCTTATCCTCGGGCACGGTTTCTGCTCCAGAAAGCCTCCCTGTAGCTGTGACAAGGAGAAAGAAGGAGACAAGAACGGATGCACTCTCCTGGATGCTCAAGGGAGTACAATCCTTTCAAGCATAGAGGCAAATGATGGGTCCTATTGTGACTCAACATCCAGCCCAAAGAAATCCTCTGGGACAAAAACAAAACGGTGGCTTTGAATATAACGTCCTCTACGAGGACACCGAATCTCAGTTATCTGGGCCTCACCAGTCCAGACTCTACTTGTTTGCCTTCCCTGCTTCCCTTGGGAGTTTTCTCTTCCTGTCATAACCACAGAGCATCTGTCTTCTCCTCCCATTGATTCCAGAGCACATCTTGATCTTGGAATCTTAATCTGGACCTTTTTCCCAGAATTATTTTCAATTAATTTTCCAAACAAGAACAGGAGTCAGCCTTTATGTTTTTCCCCCTTTTAGCATGTTAAATGCAATAGATGTCATTATTCTTATGGTCTGAGGAATGTCCTTGCTCCGTCTTTACCTTCATTATATGGAAGGGACACAGGGCCAGTTCAATTTCGACTTTTCACAGATTAAGTAAATGAATACATACAACTTGACCTGTGGTGTCACCTCATCTGTAAACTGACACAGCAGGGGTAATTTTGACCTCATTCTGTATTCCCAGCTGTGCCTCAGATCAACTGTGATGTCAAAGCTGGGAAGATCATCAATCCTGAGTTCATGGTGAAATGTCCAGCGGGTTGTCAAGACCCCAAATACCATGTTTATGGCACTGGCGTCTACGCGTCTTACTCCAGCGTGTGTGGCGCCGCGATCCACAGGTGGGTGGCTATGACCTATTCAGCACCCAGTGATCAAAGTACTTTGGGAAACTTCTGGTGCAGGGTTGCTGTAATTAGCAAGTAAAAATGTACACATTGAGTTGAGCCTCCTGCATTCCACTTGCAAATTTGTCCCAGAAGTCACTCGTGACCCTGTGTCTCTTTTCCTAGCACTGTTAGAAAAACTGACTTATCATTCCCCCCCCACACACACCTTATTTATTTTAAATTTTATTATTTTTAAAAAATTGCAAATAAAAGAGCAAAATCGCATACCGAAATTAGCCAGATCCCAAAACTTCACAGTTCTGTAAGCATCCGTACAGTGAGAACAGTCATGGGGAATAGAACCATGAAGCGTCATATCAGATTCTATACTCTCACTATTGAACATATCCCCATATCCACCACCCAACATGAGACTTCATATTCTGAATCTAGCCAGTAATATCTGGACACATGGGTCCAACATAACCTGTAGAGAAGAAAACAAGAAAGGCTAAATATTAGCATTTGAGGCAGACAATAAATGTGAGTCGTGGAAATGACCATAAAGGTAAGCTTCCCCTTCCCCTTGGTGAGGAAGGAGGAATTGAATTCCTTCATGATCAGGGCAAATAAATAAATAAATAAATAAATAAAGTTCTTGATCCTTTATAACACTTTTTTTACTATGTGCAAAAAAAAAAAAAATTGTTAGGAATGACCCGGAGTTTGAAGGGGGAAATATCTATCAGAATTGTGGTGATGGACCAGAGACAGAAAGGGGTGGCAGGTGGCACCGCTTGCCCAGTTGTCATTTTGGGATTGGAGGAGGACTATAGGAGGCATGGCATGCTTTGAACTCAGTCACAGCTCAAATGAAAAAGCGAACGGCAAAATGACCTTCACAGGATGCTCAGACGTCTCTTCCTCAGACTGAGAGCCAAACACGAGGAGATGTGTGTTTGTTTAATGTCTTTGGTGATCAAGTTAACACGCATATGGCAAACACTTTCCCCGATACCATACTTATTCACCACAATTCCCCTGTGAAGGACCTATTGTTATTAGACACATCTTCAAGATAAAGACATGGCCAGCTGTGGTTGTGTGAACCTGAAACCCAGCATTTGGGAGACAGGAGAATCTGCAGTCCTAGGTTAACTTCTATTGCATACCAGCCTGAGCTACATGAAACCCTGTCTTCAAAAACAAATACACAATAAGACAGCAAATGGATAGAGTCTAAACAGGTCTCCTAAAGCATCAGAGTGAGGTATTGTAACCCAGATCTAGCTACATACGACTGTTCGAACTACTGCTGATACAGCCTTGGATACAGGGGCCTGATGCTATATAATGTCTGAATTAGTCAGGCTTCTTTTATCTTTTTACTTTTCTTTGCGTTAATTGGCTGTTCTGTTGAATGAGAGGAGATGGTGATAAAACCCCCTTTGAAGGTAGCTAGTTAGTACACTCTGAAGACTGGAGGAAGCAGACAGAAAACAAAGACAACAGCGAAACATTGTGCATAAGATGCAGTTTAAGAATTACCAGCAGACTGCGTTAGACATGCCTCTCCTTTGTCCATAATGATGGGAAGGAATAAGGTGGAACAGTATTCACTCATCTGAATTCACTGACATCACTCATCTGCTGTTTTTCTTAAGTGGAACAGACCCCAAGAGTAAATTTGACCTCACCACTGACACCATTCAGACGAAAGCAAGTAACCTTCTGACGCTCTGATGTGTTCCTTCTGGCTTTGTTTCAATCCTTCATTTCAACAGTACTGCTAGTGTTCTCATTAGTCAGAAAAGGAATCTGGCGTGATTGGCTAATCCATGCATAGGGGACAGGGAAGGCTCGTGAAGTATGAGTCCTTGCTTGGCTAACTACCTTAGAAAAAAAGAAGGGAGGGAGGGAGGGAGGGAGGGAGGGAGGGAGGGAGGGAAAGAGAAGAAAGGAAAGAAGGAAGGAAAGGAGAGAGGGGGAGAGAAGGAAGGACAGAGGGAGAGAGAGGGAGGGAGGGAAAGAAAAGGAAAAATAAGGGAGGGAGGACTAAAGGAAGAGAGGAAATAAGGAAGAAAAAAAAGAAAAGAAAAAGTTAATATAATTGCTAGCCACTTGCACAGTGACGATCAGAGCTCCTCTATGTTTCTGACTTTTAGTCCAGAGCCCCAGGTCACAGTTTACATAAGAACATAAGGGGCTCAGCCCTACTCAGTGTGTGGAGTGAGGGAGGTGTATGAATTCTTTGCAGGAGTCTTGGCAGGAAAAGGCTTTAAGAAGAAAGGACACATGCCTAAAGAGAAAATCGAGTTCAAGGCCAGCCTGGTCTACAGAGTGAGTTCCAGGACAGCCAGGGCTATACAGAGAAACTCTATCTCA